CCTCCCTGCGTTTCGCCCGCCCAGTGCAGCGCCCCGTGGCCGTTGGGAGCTCCATTGAAGGCCCCAGTGCCACCGCCCGCGCGCGCCCCCCGCGCCCAGAATGGCACGCCCCTCGCACGTTTCGTGGCCCCGTACCTAGGCGCAACGAAACTTTCTTTGGGAGCGCGAAAGACTTCCAGACGACCCAGACAGGATGCCTGGGCGGCCCCATGGCCCCAAGATGATTCCACGACGGCCTCAGACGCGCACGAAGATGACCTCGGGGCGACCCCAAGAAGACCCCGCGGCCCCTGCAGGACCCCCACGCAGCGTCGAAACGGCCTGGGGGCGAATCCAAAATGGCCCAATAATGGGCGATGCCCCGGAGACCAGGCGCGGTGGCCCCAGAGCGACCCCGAGGTGGCCGGAGCATTCCCAGGGCACAACACCATGATCTCAAGAGGACCTGGAGATGATTTCAACATGGCCCCAAAACGACCCGAACACGTCATACATTCGCGGGATTGGTTCCCGCCGCGGGATTTATCTGGACCCAAATTTTCATGGGTGGGATTTATGGTTGGCCTGGCTGAAACAGCATCATTAAAGGGGGAACTAGTCGCCGAGGATCCCGCCGAGACCGCGCAAGAGGGGCATCTCGCTAGGCTTCTAGGGGGGGAGGGGGGTTCAACGCGCCCTCCTCGACCCCATCGGGGCCGTTGCCCAGAGGGCTACAACGTGGGCGAGCACGCCGCGCCATCGGGCCTAAGTCAGAAAATTCGATGAATTTTCGGAGCGGAATGTAGGGAGCTCCACCGAAGGCCCCCGTGCCACCGCCCGCACGCGCCCCCCGCGCCTACTTTGGCACGCCCCCCACGCGTTTCGTAGCCCCATAGGGGGCTCCACCGAAGGCCCGGCGCCGCCGCCCGCGCGCGCCCCCCAAAGCCCATGTCGGCACACCCTCGCGCGTTTCGTGGCCCCGTGGGGAGCTCCACCAAAGGCCCCAGCGCCACCGCCCGCATGCGTCCCCCACGCCAACGTCGGCACACCCCTCGCACGTTTCGTGGCCCCATAGGGAGCTCCACCGAAGGCCCCCGTGCCACCGCCCGCACGCGTCACCCGCGCTTAATTTGGCGCGCCCCTCACACGTTTCGTGGCCCCACATGGGGGCTCCAACGAAGGCCCCAGCGCCGCCGCCCCCATGCGTCCCCCGCGCCCATTTCGGCACACCCCTCATACGCTTCGTGGCCCCGTGGGGAGCTCCACCGAAGGCCCCAATGCCACTGCCCGCCAGCGGCCCCCACGCCCAATTCAGCGCGCCCCTCGCGCGCTTCGTGTTCCCATATGGAGCTCCTCCGCAGGCCCCGGTGTTACCGCCCGCGCGCGTCGCCCACGCCCACTTCGTTTCGCCCTCCCCAGTTTCGTGGCCTCATAGGGAGCTCCGCCGAAGGCCCCGGCGCCAACGCCCGCGCGCCGCGCCCACTTCGGCACGCCCCTCGCATGTTCGCGGCCCCGTAAGGAGCTCCACCGAAGGCCCCAGCGGCGCCGCCCGCATGCGTCGGCCACGCGCACTTCGGCACACCCCTCATACGCTTCGTGGCCCCATAGGGAGCTCCACCGAAGAACCGGGTGCCGCCGCCCGCGCGCGCCCGCCACGCTCATCGAGGAACGTCTCCAGACCTCTGGGGAGGAGGAGGAGGAGGAGCTGGAGGCCCTCCCCCCCTCGCACGCATTTTGCTTCGCAGTCGCGGGAAGTCCTCGCGCCGCAGGGCCATCGCCGCGGCGGCGCGTCAGGGGCGCGCCATGCGAGGAGGCGACGGGGCGAGGGAACGGCCCCCACCCCCGCAGTCTACGGCCGAATTTTTGGGCGCGAGTGGTCCGCGGCCAGACCTTCTCTCGGCCCTGCGGACCCTTGCCCCAGGCCGTCGACTGTCCGGCGCGCCGCTCTTTCGGCCGACGTCTCCCAGGCGTGGTCTTGGGCTGCGGCCGCCACGAGGTCGGGAACGGCAAGCAGGGGGGCGACGATTGGCGGCCGGAACTGCGCGCGCTGCTCTCGCGCGCCACGCTTCGCGAGGACCTCGCGCTCATGCGGGCGCCGCGTCGAGTTCTCCCCGGCAGGGCCGCCGGTGGCCTTGCGGCGGCAGCTGGGGCAGTTTGCGGCGCGCGCGAAGCGGCGCAGGAGGGAGGCGACGGCTCTCGCCAGGGAGCTCGGCTTCACCGAGCTTATCCGCGAGTGAGGGGCGTCCTGCCCGAGCCGCGCCTTCTCTCGATTAATTGCCTAATTAACTGCTTGGCCTCGCGCCGCTGACGACCCGCGCGCGCCGCTGGGGCTCTTTCGGGGCGACTGGCGCGCGTCGCGGGAACTCCGACCCGCGCTCTGCCTCGCGCCGGAGCATTGCCCGCTATCGGCCAACCAGCTAGCGCTCTTTGCTCAGCGCCGCGGACGACCCGCGCGCGTCGCCGGCGCGCCTTCGGGGCAACCTGCGCGCGTCGCGGGGGCTCCGCGCTGCGCCGCGCCCGCGGCCGTGGACTTCGGAGCGAGCGGGCAAAAAGGGGGGGGGAAGAAGGGGGGGGGCCAGGCGCGATCCTCGCGAGGGGCGCGCCGACATGGGCGTCGCGGCGCGCGGGCGCTGCCGCCGGGATTCCCGGGGAAGCTTCCGGCGGCGGCCACGTTCAGCGTCGCCAGTACTCAGAGTCGAGCGTACCGAAACCATTCGCAGTCATACGAATTTGCACTAGGCGTGTCCATGCTCGCATTCATGCACACAGACTCACTCGCGCGCAGACTCATTCACAATCGAACTCACTCGCGCTCAGACTCACCCGCGCTCAGTCTCTCGTACTTTGACCTGTCCTCTTCGTTCGCGTCGCGTGCTCCGCCACGCACTTTGGCGCGCCATGCGGTTCGTGGTCCCATGGGGGGGCGCCACCGGAAAAAGTCATAGTTGCGGTACTCGCAACTGCGCATGGTTGGGTCATCCGCCAAGATCATATCGAATTCGCAAGAGCGCGAGCGCAGGTTTCTTGAACAAATGTGTTGCGAAACCATTTGTTCCCAACCATCCTGTGGTGTTGGGTCCTCGTTTTTTTTTTAAAGCAGCGCCCCGCGTTCCTCGTTCCTGCATTCCTTCCTCTTCCCCTTCCTCCCCCCTCCCATCATCATCGTCATCGCCCGTTTCAGCACACCCCGCGCACGCTTCGTGGCCCCATAGGGATCTCCCCGCGTGCGTCCCCCCCCACCCATTACAGCGTTTCGTGCCTCCATATGGAGCTCCACTGACGGCCCCAGTGCTACCGCCCGCATGCGTCCCCACACCCAAGAGAGGGGGTAATGTATTTAAATAATAGATTATATATGATGGTGTAGTATTACAAAATATGATTACTAATCGTATAATATGATAATCGATCATATGTTAAATGCACTCATAGAACTAACAATAGCCTAGTAATAGCATACCTCACTCATAACACTGAGTGGTGTACGTCGTGAGTCGAACGTCATATATCTAAGTAATCCGTAAGCTGTAGAATTTACCAGGAGTATCATGTATCATTTGTATAATGTACAGTGTACAACGTGTATGGTGCATCATGAAATGTAGAAGTTAGTAATCTGTGTATTTGCAGTCGTGTAGTAGTGCCTATTGCATCATATACATACTTATATACACATCCTGAAACCATTAGGGTATACATATATATAAAGTGTATAAATTTCAGTTTAAGTCTACATGAGATATACTATATTAAAACTGATATCGAATCGACATTAGCGATATTGCAGCGATGGCAGCGATGCTTTCCGAACCTACTTGTCCGAAACAATGGTTCCGAACCAACTGATCCGAACTTTTTTTTCCGAGCCATAGTTTCCCGAACCATCTTATCCGAACCGAGGTGTCCGCACCAAGCTCCCCGAACCAAGCTTTCCGAATGAAGCTCTCCGAATTATCTTTCCCCGAATCATATTATCCGAACTCTTTTCCGAACCAATCGAGATCCGAACTATGTTGTCGCGAACCATTTTGTTTTGGGCGTTCCCGTACCATCTTCCCGAACTGTAAAGAGCTATGGTCTTGAAACCAGTCACATGTAAAGTATTGAAATACCTATGGTGTTCGTCCGGATTCGCAAGAGCGCGAGCGCAAGCTTTACTTGAACATTGATGTTGCGAAACTAAATAATTTCATGTGTTTGTTTTTGGCATTTGGTTTTGCAATTCCTACGAAGGCTAACGTTGTTGTATGTTTTTGTAGGATTTCGGCATGCGCGCACAACGACGCGCGCGCAATTCGTCCAATCTTTTGCAAGGGATTTCTGGAAATTGATGATCTGTGATAAACGAGTGCGAGTGCATAGTGTTTTTGGCTGACGATGCCTTGGGGTGTCGGTACTGGCTTGCCTGGGATGGTACAAATTCGTATTTAGGATGGACGATCGGGCAGAATCATCTGTAAATTGCAATGCGAAGCGGGGGGCGGACGATCCCGGGGGGGGGGAGAATCTGATTCCTTTCAAGAAAGGAGAATCTATGTGCGACGAGCGGCGAGCGATGGCGACCGGGCGGCGACGGCGGCCACATAGCGTCCAGACCGTCAGAAATGCCTGGACGACGGGCGGCGATGAGGCGGCGACGCGGCGGCGACTGCGGCCACATAGCCTCCAGAGCGGCAGGCAGGCCCAGATGACGGGATGCGACGAGGCAGCGATGAGGCGGCGACGGCGGCCACAGCCGCCAGAGGGGCAGACAGGTCTACCTCCGTAGAAAGGAAGCAAGAGCCGCATGTGTGCAAGCCCTGTCTGCGACGAACGAACAGCACACCCATACCCATAGGGGGGTCGTTGGGAGGAGGAGAGTCTATGGGTATGGGTGCGGGTTGTCGGACCCTGGGGAACGCTCCCGTTCGAGCGGGGACCCCCATCCGACAATACGCACCCATAGCCCTCTCCGACCCCCCCATGGGTACGGGTGTGTGCTGTTGGTTCGTCAGTCTGGGGAATCTGCATCGTCGCCTTAGGTGGCTCGCCTCGGGCGCCGCGAGGGCGGGGCTCGTAGTCGCCTCGGCGGGGCTGGCCGTGGCGTTCGCGGCCTTCTTCCAGATCGGGCTCGGGCTGCCGTGCATGCCGCCGGCTCGGGCCGCCGCCTGGCCCCGCCTGGCCTCGGAAGCAGAGGAGGTTGCCCCGCTGTCGCCCGCGTGGGCCTCCTGGGAGGCCCCCGCCGCCACGGCTGGATTCTCCTCGAGGTTCTTGTCAGAACGTGTTTCGGGAGAGGCCGGGGGAGCAGCGGTGTCGGTACCCTTTGGCTCCCCCCACTCCTGGTCGGGCGACAGGCAGGGTCCCGAGGGGGAGGAGGGCTTGAGGGCGAGAGGACGGGGAAGCGAGGAGGGACGGAGGAAGCAGGGAAGGTGGTGGGTCGCAGAGGGCCCAGGGCGTGGCCTGTCGGATGGCGGAGCGTTCACCATCCGACTCGATTCCGATATCATGCCGACGGTCCGATGCGGTCCGGAGCTTGGCCTGCGCTGGTTTTCGACAGGGGGCGTCGGGAAGGGTGGGGGTGCAAGGGCTGGGGACAGCCCGAGCGTTGGAGGGGTGCCCTGATGCTGCTCGTGTGTGGGGCCTCCACCTTGGAGGGCCGTTCGTTTTTGCTGGGTGCCTTTGTGAGGCCTTCCTCGGGCCTTTGGCGGAGGGGCTCGTGCTCTTGGTCCGTGTTCCTGTGGCCACGTGTCAGCTGTGCGACATCTGCTGCCTGCAGCTGGCCTCGGCTCCGCTTCTGGGTGCTTCCATCGATGCAATGCGGGGGCGCCTCTGACTGTGGGGGAGGCGCCGGAAAAATCTGGCTGCAGCCACGTGAGCCGATTTCCGCCCCCCCCCCCCCCCCCGCCCCCCCTCACTCCTCCTCCCTCCTCCCATCCTCCTCCCTCCTCCTCCTCCCTCCTCCTCCTCCTCCTCCTCCTCCTCCTCCTCCTCCTCCTCCTCCTTCCGTAGCCATTTTGGCTCAAACCATTTTGGCTCAAGCCATTTTGGCTCAGATAAAACATCTCTCAAGGTGGCGCAGGGGCCCGCCGCTCTGAGACACAGGAGGCTGCCAAGCCAGTCTCAGTGCTTTTCCCTTCCTCCATTCTCTGTCTACACCATTCGGCACACTCCGTTCTCTCCCACTGTCAGTGCTGCCATGGGTTCTCGTGGCCAATGGGCCAGCCGCAGATGGCAGCAGCATGATGTCGACGACAACCGCTCACCGTCTAAGGGGCGCTCCGAGAGGCGTGAACGTGATCGAGATCGGGCACGTCGGCATAACATACATTCTGGAAATGAGGATAGTGATCGGTCGAGATCCAATCGTGGGGAAGACCAGCCGCCGTCGTGGATGAAAGTCTTGATTAACAAGCTTGACACCAACACGGATACCATCCATCGTTTAGAGGACTCACTGAAGGATGACATACGTCGTATGAAGGCGGACGTTGCACAACAGAACGAGCGCATCGATGCTATAGACCGCAAGATGGCCCAATCAGCCCAGGAGCAAGCCAACGATATTGCACAGATTGTCGAAGGTCAGCTTACGGAGTCTCTCAAAACCAGGTTTGAGAAAGTGGAGAGTGATCTGGTGGCCCTTACTACTCGTCGCCAGATGCCAACACAACCCAATGCTCCTGGTGGCCAACATGCTGCACACGCTGAAGCTGGATTGGTTGCAGATCGTCGGAAAATATGGGCTGGAGGGTTTCCACGCCCATTGCTCAAAAAGGTGCTGGAGTCTTGTGCTGACGATCTCAACTACAACATACCCCAGTACTACAAGACAGGCCTCCAGAAGATATGCTACAACCAGAGTAAGTCCTTCGCCTTCATCTTCGATTCAGAGGACTCCGCAAAGTGGTTCCTGGAGACGACGAGGACCGTAGGCATTCAATGGTTTGATAGGAAGTCTAACTGCTCTGTTCGTTTATGTGCGCGTTTTGATGCGCCCACTCATGCTCGTGCCAAACATCGTGTGCTGGGTCAGCTATGGCAGATGTGCAAGGGTCATTGGCGACAGCGTGCTCCAGAAGTGCAGAACTGGCAGCTCGGATGCAACGGATTTCGCGGCAATTTATTTCTGATTGTAGAGGACGAGATTGAGAACTTGTTCACGCTGAAGACCGAGGATCGTGACCAGTGGTTCATCGTGCCCGACTACGACACTCTCTGCAGATACAAGATTGCTCGCGAACTAGCTGACAAGATGGCTGCCGCGGCCGTCGCCAAGGTAGAATAGGAAATTCAAACGTTGTACTTCGCCAGCAGTGGGACAGGCAGTAGTGAGCTGCCTGTGGGGCGCCTGCTGGCAGCTGGGGCTGCCACGTGCAGGCCTTGTGTCTCTGCTGACAGTGATGACACTGACAGTAGCTCTGGCTCTGAGAGTTCTTCCTCTTCCTCGTCTTCCTCCGCCTCTTCGTCGACTAGCAGGGATAAGTCCTGGTTTCTGCCATACGAGTTTGAGGCCAAATTATCCATTGTGTCTCGGAATGCGTGCTCTCTCTTGGGGAGTAACTGGTCTAATCCTGCTACTCTTCGGGCTGAGCACGAGAAACTTCATCGGCTTCTTGCTCAACGTAGTGTAGTGTATATTCAGGAGCCCCGTGGCTCTATATTCGACTTGAATATGGCTTGTAAGGACGTCTTGGGAGTGGAGGGGTATGGAACCTTCTTTCTCTTTCGCATGCCCCTGCTGGTGGGTGCATTATTCGATTCCCTACTCATCTTCGGCGCCAGTTTGATAGTGTGTCTCATTATGTACTCGCACTTGGACGCGTGCATCTTCTTCTGCTGCGTGGACAACGCGGCTCGCTTGCTATTGTGAATGCTCATGTGGGTCCAAGCCTGAGCGTTGCTCGTCAGAAACATATCTTGTGGCTTATTGCGAGGCGCGTGCCTCCACTGGACAAAGCAGTGACGATTCTCTGTGGTGACTGGAATTTTCCTGCCTTGGGTGAAGACAGCCTTCTGATGTCGGGGCAAACGCGGTACCCTTCCAGGAACCTTGGGGCCGAGTTTTCGCGGGTCTTCCCTGGCTTTGCTGAAGTTGAACAACCACTTGCCACTCATAGAGTTGTGCGTGGCGAGCAGATCATTTCGGCAGGTCGTCTGGATGGGATCTACATCAATGCCTATACTGCCAAGGTCCTCGATTGTGCTCCGAACGGCCTCATTATGGGAAGCCCCTTTGACTGGAAAGAACCATCAGATCACGTTCCCGCTGGTCTGGTATTGCGCCCCCGAGGCCCTCCTGCTGCCCCGAGGATCCCCTCCTGGATTGCCAAGCATCCCGAGTTCCCCGTGGTGTTCGCTGAGTGTCTTGAGGCCCATGGACCCTTTCATGATGATGCCTGGGAAGCGTTAGGCGAGCTCAAAGACATGCTGCACGCTACGATGAAAAACCTCAAGCAGAGGTTGGAGGTACGAGGGGCCAGCACCGTGCCAGAATTTATCGGGCGGTCTCTAGCGGCCATGCGAGCTCTTGCTGCTGGGTCTGCTGCCACTGTAAGGGGAGCATGCACGTCCTATCCGAAGTTGAGTCTATATTTATATATGCCCTGACAATTGTATGTGGACTGATGCGCACGCTTTCCATCGACATCTTGCTGAGCTTAGTCGGCAGTCTCTCCGGCAGCGTACAGCTGAGCTCGAAGCATCTGACTTGCCCGAGGACTATTAAAAGCCGCAGTTGCACCGTCTCACTCAGCCTGCTGCGGCATGGGGAGCTTCTGGCAGAGCGATTTGCCTTTCAGCGGTCGCAGACCCGACGGGCCGCCAGATCGCCGACCCGCATGAGGCCTGCCAGCACCTATCACAATATTGGGGACAGGTACACGGAGAGGGAGGACTAGACAGGTATTCTTTCGGAGAGTGCGACCAGTTGCGCCCCTTTGCGCCGCAGTTGTCCAATCTCGTGAATTGGATCCTCGAGCCCGAGGAGTTCCAGATATTAGTGGAAAAAACCAAAGATGCTAGTCCTGGTCCTGACGGGATCCCTTACAGTGCATATGCGAAAGCTGGTCCCGAGGCCGTTCGAGTTCTATATCGAGTTTATCTAGCCCTTCTATCGGGAGATCTCAGGGATAGTAACTTCAACGAGGCCCTTGGTGTCTTCCTGGCGAAAGGTGAGGGCCCCGAGGATGCCCAACAGGCTGTCAGAGCCCCTTCCTGCACCAGGCCGCTAGCGTTAGCCAACAGCGACAACAAGCTCGTGCCCAAAGCCATCAATCGTCCCACGTCGCATGTCGCTCAGGTGTGCTGTGGCCCCATCCAGAGAGGTTCTATCCCGAGTAGGGCCATGAATGACAACCTCATCCAGCTCGAGGGCTATGTTTTGCATTGGGTTGCCCAGCAGTACTGTGCTCGAGCAGGATTTCTCATGTTCGACTTCAAGAGTGCCTTCCCGTCGCTGCTGCGTCCTCTTATCTCCTGGATGCCTGAGGTGTTGGAAATTGACCCGAGGATTATCCTGGCCATCAAGAAGCTGTACTCTGGGGTTCGGTCCCAGGTTGTCTTCGGAGGTCTGCGTGGCGCTTTCTTTAACGTGCTCAGAGGCATAAAACAAGGACGCCCTCTTTCTGGAACCCTGTATGCCCTTACGGTCGACCCGATTTAAAGAATGCTTGGCTCTCGCCTACCTAGAAGTCCGGGGATAGCAGCAGCGTTCGCGGACGACCTAGGCGTGGGCACTGCCGACGTCATTGCTGCGCTGTGCGTTTGCCTTCCTGTCCTTCAGCTGGCCGAGCGAGTTGCAGGACTGCAGCTCAACCTGCCGAAGTGTGTGATAGTCGTCGTGAAGGGTATCAGCCGTCGTGAATTCGATCAATTTCTGTTGGAAAATGGTTTGGTTCTCCCTGGCACCGTTTTGGGCGTCTCTGGTAAATATCTCGGGATCTGGATCGGCCAGGATTCGGACTCGCTGAGTTGGCAAGCCCCTGCGAATAAGACCCTTCGACAAGCTCGAGAATGTAAGGCACTCAAGTTAGGGCTTTCCAAAACCGTCCTGCGCTACAACGTGTACGCGTTCTCGTGCATGGGCTATGTGGCCCAGTTCTTTGCCCCGTCAAAGTATGCTTGCCAGCGGGAGTATCGTGCGCTGCAAAGTCTGACCGACGCTCCGAGAAATTCCATGTCCTGTGCTCTGTTGTATGACCTGAAGAACGGCGGTCTCAAAGTCCAAGCTAAACATCTTATGTGTATGGCGAGAGCTGCCATGTATCGAGCTGCCCTCCAATCCAAAGCTTTCGATGAGGTGTGTGGTCTTCTTGACGCCTTCGACGGTGACGACGACTGTGTTATGTTATGGAAAATGAACCCCTGGTATAAGCATACGATGTACTATCACATGCGGGAGAATTATCGCATCTTGCAGGCCATCCCGTCCTTGCCCTCGTTTGGCTCCCCTCGGTCGCAGGCGAAAACAGAGGCTCTCTTGCGCAGCATGGAGGAATACGATGCGGCAGACGTCCTCCTCGGTCGCGCAATGAAGTA